TGGTCTGGTCGTTGAACACAAATGAAGTACGCGAAGTTGCAGCTATGGCGAACTTTTAATCTAAACAAAACTCAAGCAAAAAGCTACTAGATGGATCTACTTATATAGGAGCAAGGGGTTGCGGCCAAGGATGGTGGGAGGACGTCCCAAGGCAGCCTAAAACTAACCCTAGGTCGTACAAGGCTCATGGGCCCAAGTGGAGGTGATGCAACACCTTTGGGCTTGTAGTTTGACTCGGATTCTGCTGCAACGTCAGATTGTTTCGTCCATAACTCAACGCTCCGAACGAATTTGAAGGTGAATCCAATTGGGTTGGAAATAGCACGAAATCTAGTTTTCAACGAAAAAAGAATCACCCAATTCGGAGTCCGTATGAAAAAGTTGTTGGCGTTTTGATTCAGGTATGTTTATGCAGTCCGAATCTGAATCCAGAACGTGAGAGACTTGGACTCTATCTTCTCTTGGCCCAAAAGTGACGTGAGAGGACTTTTTGAACAGAACCTAAACTTCTTCTTTTCCCTTATCTTCATATGTGGATTGTACAAATGTCCCATACACCTGCAATTAGACAAAACACAAAAGTGTGTGAAATATTTTTATTCTGGATAACACAAATAGAATATTGAATAGTTTGCATTATAAATCACCTGACAAATATGCATGTATGCAATATTTTTGGTCGTATCCGAGATAGTCACCTCATCATGAGGTTGTGGCTATGGTTGGCAGGAGTGCACTTGAGTGTGCAGAACATTGCCTCCAACCAACAAATACCACACAAACTGTGATGTAGAGATGGAAACCACCAGCCGCCGCCGCCGTGCTAAGGAAAACAATGATGTTTCTTCTGACTCAATTAGCAACTCTGGAGGCTGGGGCTTTGTGATTGGTAACATTCCATGGATTGCGGGTCAGACAAATTCAGAAAGCAGTTGATGCTTTACAAAATGAAGCTATTGCATGTTTAAGTGGTGTACGTGCAGTAGTAGACCGAGGGATCTGGTGAATTGGGATAGAATTTGACAATACTAGACCGGGGGATGTAGTGAGTGGAGATAGTATCATCGGTAGTAAGAAGTATGATCTTTCAGCCAGTAGTGTGCTTTCCTAGCAGATAAAATTTATGTTGTCTTTGTGTTTTTCTAGATTTTTGTGGTCTTTCTATTCAAGAAGTTGTAATAAGGTGGCTTTGTGGCTGATGCTATCGCGGTGTATGATGCAAAGTTGGAGCAAAATCCTTGCATTGCCTGGTAGGAGGATGTTTCGGATATTATGAAGGGCTTGTAGCCAGCAATTCCGCTGAGCTTGTCTATTAATGGAACACAGTTTCCAACACAAAAAATATAGTTTGTAATAATTCATCGGCCATTCTTTCATTCAGAATGAAACATAATGGTCCCACATTTCACTCAGAAACCAAAACCCAGTTTCTAAGGGACATGCATGCCTAAATGCCTAGGAAGATCGGGCTTGACGAAGGTAAGACACCAGGCAGGTGACACAAGTTGGTTTGCTTAATATCAAACATGAAATGGTGACACAAGCTGGTTTGCTAAATACTCGTATCAAACATGAATTTTTTCGACTCCCATAGCAACACACGAGCACTCACGTAGTACATACTACTGAAGATGCAACTTGAGATTTCTAGATTCCAAGGCAAGGTTCTACTAGTAAATTAGTACATGAAACAATTTTTGTCATGCTTTGCAAACCTTACAGAAATAGGCTTGGAGCATGCAATTTTGCCCTTTACATGTTGAGTGACTCAACATCGTCCATGATCAGTTTTTGCTGTGCCTTCGTCAACTTAACATTGGTACTACAAAACACAAGATGGTTGTGATCAATTTCACATGGATGGGGTGAAAAGGGTGTTGGAAACCTTATAAAAGGGCTCAGGTTTTGAGAGAATAGATGAATTGTGACTATGAGCTGTGTTTTTATGATTAAATAGTCTACACTTCAAGTTGAATATACAATTGAAAGGTAGTGTAGCTATATATGCAGGATGTGATATTAGAGGAATACCGAATAAACACATGGATAAACTATTGCACATATATGTGGAGATCAATTCGAACTAGTAGTTGTGGCTTATGTGGAAGATATGGACATGCATGCACGAATGCAGGAACTCAGCCATGCTGTATACTATTGATTGTACTCCTCCAGTCTCATGTTTAGCTTCAGTCAGGGTGAACTCAAGATCATCTTGGAGTTCCTCCTGATGTTCTCTTGCAGTTCATTGATCAGATGCATCAAGGTGATAGTGCGCAATGGATTTGTACACCACTTGTATTCATGCTAACAGTACTAAAAGGAAAGTTATCAACTATCTTAATTGGTCTTTGTGCATAGAGGCTTACCGTTATTCTATTATGTACAAAAAACTATTTGTTTGAAATTACAATATTCAATCTGGATTTCCATTATATTGCAATCTATTTGGAAGTTTCAAAGCATGGATTATACATAAACATATCCTAACAATATGGAAAGCGGACATTGTTTGAAAGTGACGTGATGGAGTCTCCCTTTCCGATGACTCTCCTTTGGCAGGCTGTGTGAGCAGACCAGCAGAGTGGTGGATGGTGATTATGGCAACAGATACTGCTGATGTATTCTCTCTAGATGAAAATCCATGATCTAGCCTTTTGGTTTGATCAGGTATCATTCCGTTTGCGCATCATTGTCTTGTTGAAGGTGTTGGTCAACACCAACAAGAAGCCCATGGTGCTCAACCTCAGAGCTCATGTGGCTTCACCTCCGGAAGGATCGGTTCCCGGAACAACGCGTGTGCGCAGTGAGCTAGGCCACAACCCGTGTACCCCTGTCCACCTACCTAGACTATATATTCCGTGCCTACTGGAAGTTTTAGGGTTATGAAAGTATATATTAGACCAAAACTAAAGAGGGCTTTGCTCATCTATCACCTCCTCTTGGAGATCAAGGCCTCCTTGAAGGAGAAGACTCCATTTGAGTACCCCAAGACCACTTGGAGGAGATCCATCTTGGATTCAAGACCCCATCTCTCTTAGGGATCTGCGAAGACTATCTACCCCCTCAAGACCTCAACTCCCTTGTGGATTTGGAAAGAACTTTATGTTGTTACTTGTTTCCCTTGTTGATTGTGAATCTTGTGGTACTTGTGTGGATTTGTGGAGAGAGTGGATGTGTGATTTGGATCTCGTCTTGCGTGTTCTTCTTTCTTTTGATCCATCTCCAAGTATGAAAGATTGAGCCACATAGGGCTTTATTAGCATACAACAAGCCTCTTGATGCCACCTGCACTGACCTCAGGCAGCGCGTCGTCCACCTACGACATAGTGGCATAAATGGAGAGGAAGAAGGCGGACGGGAACAGTGCGTTGTGGGGGTGGGGATTGGGGATGGAAGGAAAATGTAGTTCCTCATCAGCATGTGTTCGCGCTAAGCCATCTTTGGAATGGTCACATGTAAAGTGTGGCGTGGCAGGTGCCATTGCGCCAAGATTCGGCTTCGTGGTCGAATGGCTAGACTAGCGCCGAATCGCTATAGAACTAGCCTCAGTTCTATAGCATTTCAGTACTAGCCCTCTTTGATTCGTAGGATTCTCCAAACACGGGAATAGGAAAAATAAAGGATTGGGGTGGCATGCCCACTTGAATCTCGTAAGATTAACACAGAGTGTTTGATGTCACAGGAAAAATAAAGGAAGTGAAAAAAGATGTTGGAGTGGATGCTAGATTTTCTATGAAATGTAGTACACATGATTACATAGGAAAAAAAATTATATTTCTTCCGTTCGGAATTACTTGTCGCAGAAATGGATGTATCTAGATGTATTTTAGTTCTAGATACATCCATTTTCGAGACAAGTAATTCTAAACGGAGGAAGTAGGATCAAACAAGTAATGCAAGAAAAATTTCTAAGGATTCCAGCCCCTTAAAAAATCCTATGAAATTCATTTGAATCAAAAGAGCCCTAATTTAAAGTTGGACGCTTGTTTGTTGGGCAGAAAAGAAAAAATCACACCATTTGCTGCGGCCGTCTTCCTTGGGGTTCGGCACGTGACTTATTGTGTGAACCGTTCGCTTTCTCCCTTCTCGCTTGGGAATCCGGAAGCTATTCTAGAGAAATCGGGAATGCCCTGCTCGTCGGCCCCGCAGTCTCGCTCCGCCCCCGGCGACCTCCTCCCCCCCATCCACCCAAGGCAGCGAGATTGCTACCCCGGCCCCAAGTGAAGATCCATCCGGGCGTAGTTCCTTCTTTTCTTGGTAAGAAAGCCCTAGCTTGCTTGGATTCATCTTCTTTTCTCTGTCATTTCGGCGGCCGCCAATGTCTATTTACCCTGACGAACTGGTCATACTATCACGAAAAATATGGGGTTCAATTCATTGAAACAATCCACATGCCCCGTGCCGCGCCCCCGAGTATCTGATTCTTGTGCAATCCCCTCAGCAAAGTCCCCTAATGTTGGGCAGACTGCGTGGCTAGTGCCGTCAACAGGGTCTCAGTTTTATGCAAGTTGGGAGCATTTTAACTTTTGATTGATTATCAGTTAGAAATAAAATAGAAATCTTGGTGGCTGAATTTGCAATTCGAATTGCCATTTTAGCTAAAGTTGGCACCGCGGTTCGAAATACTTCAAAAGATCGTAGTATTATTTTGGGGGCCAACTAGACCAGAGGTTACACATCCTAACCAGTGTCATTGCATTAAATTACTGATTTGATGGGTGCGACTATGGAATTTCTGTAATAAGCTTCCTACTTGTAATAGTGGTACCACTAATTAATACCTTCCTGATCAATGATTGTAAATTATCCAGTTGAATTGTTTCGTAAGTGAGCACCTCAAAGGGGATGTGAATTTAGTTGCTTCCTGTGCCGGGTAACTGAAGTGTTGCTCAAAGTTGGACACTTGTAGCTGAACTGCTTCATCACCAACCTGTATAGATTCGTCCTCATCGCTTTGTCACTTTGTTTGCTTTTTTGCATTTGATGAACCGGCAGCAATGGATATAGATGATGTGATTTGCAACTTGCGTGTTGTTGGTGTGCCAACCAAGAGTGCTATATACACATGGGGATATAACCAGAGTGGCCAGACTGCACGCAAGGGCAAGGAGCGCCACCTGAGGATCCCCAAGAGCCTACCTCCCAAACTATTCACCTGTAGGGATGGCGAGAACCTCAGATGGATCCATATTGCATGTGGCCGTGCTCACACTGCTGCAGTCGTTTCTGACGGATCACTCTTCACCTGGGGTAGGTCCATTTTTACTAAATCTTGTATATTACGGAGCGTTAGATAATCATCAAGGGGAGTGTTGCCATTAATGCCATGCCATCGCTGTTATATTTGGATCTGAAATTTTGTAGTTGAGTTATTATCCCTGATGATTTTTACGGTCGGGGCCAGTGGCGGTGCTACATGCGCATGGCCCACCCAGCTCTGGAGCATTTCATCACATTACAGCCAGACCATGGGCCGTAGAACGTCATCCATGAGCACTCTTGCAGCCTGGCCCACCCAGCCCATCCAGTTTTTTGGTGCAAGCTCTGCCACTGGTCGGTGCTATGGATACTTGGCACATCATACTCGCTAGGCATTTCCAGACCAGTCTCACCAATTGTATTTATCTCCTTAATTTAACTGGCTTGTTGCTTGTTCTTCTGTGTCACGATATAGATTGCGCGTAGGTGATAATTGTGATAGGCAGGAGGCCGTGGACCAGTGCCCTTGCGGTGCCCTGTCGGCGGAGCTGTGATAGCAGAAGTGGCACAAGGGACAGGGCATCCGAATTATGGGAGGCAGAAGCAGAGAAATAGGGATTAGTGATTAGACTTTGTAGCTTGATTCATAACAATGGTGACTGCCTCGTTATATAGAGGTTGGCCTTACTCATATGACTCAAAACCAAAGTTGGACTTAGGACTCTTCCCTAAGCTGAACGTGCAGCTACTAAGACACCATTAGGACAAGGACTCAAGCTGAAGGCATCTAGGTCATGCTGCAACCGAGTAGTAGTAGGATTCCTTGGCCCTCTCAGCTGGAGGTCTGAAAGCATGGTGCCACCTCTCATAACATGACATTCTGATAGTTATTATGTAATATTTTTCCGATTCCGCCCTCCTGCGTACCTTTTTGTGTTTATAGTTTGGTAGGAAGTACCAAGTATATGTGAATATGTTTAGAATTCTTCAAAAAGCAGATCACATTTAACTTAAAATATACAGGTTCAAATGACTTTGGCCAGTTGGGAGATGGGACAGAGGAGAGTGCAAAGGAACCTAAAAAAGTCAATGCACTGGCAACTGAGTTTGTGAAATCGGTGTCCTGTGGCGCACACTGTACAGCTGCTATTGCTGAACCTCGAGAAAATGATGGCACAATATCGAGAAGCAGGTTATGGGTTTGGGGACAAAATCAGGTTTGCCTAAATTAATTGTACTGCTGAATCTGCCCCTTGTAGATTGAGAACCAACTTGCAACACAAAAATAGTTAGCATTTGCGTTTGCATGATCCTTGCAGGGCTCAGATTACCCTCGCCTATACTGGGGTGCTTTTGCACCAAACACGGTAAAGTTCAATTACACTGGATCAATTATGTCGCACAATTCAAGTAGATTCATGAGACCGAATGTTTGTGTACTCAAACATTGCAGCCTTCTTCTTTTGTCCTGTTTATTTGATGTTTCCTCTTAGTTTACCCTATTTCATCTGTCTGGAAAGTAAACATGATAAGTCATGCCAACTATATGCATAGATACATTCATCATATAGGAAATTATTTATTCAAATCCCTCGTGGTCTTGATCCTTAAAGCTGAGCACCAAATGTTTAAACAATACTCATGTGCTGGTATGTTTTTTCCTGTTGTCCATGAACTATTTGTGCCCCCAGTGACAAGTATCATGGTGGCCTGGGAAACTTCACTTAGTTTGCCAAATTAGATCTCTAGTAGAATTTCTACTTCCCACCTAGCAGGTTATATGCTTGTATGCTATTTTCACATGCCCCTGAAAGTGCTTTTTTTCTTTCTTAATAAACCTGATAGCTATGGAAAACCAGATGATGGTAAACCCTAAAATTAGTCTACTGCTAGGAAAATAAAGAGGGTGTAAGGGAATAACTATTGCTTGCTTTTTAGCTGGGGGTCCAAATGTATCATATGGCCTGTGTTACTTGCCTAGGAGGGGGGGGGGGCAACTTGGGGGTAAGCCAAAACCAAAATGGGCCGTGTTAAGGGTCCCTGCTGGAGATGCTGTAATAGCACTCCAAATGAATAATAGTAACTGTTGGCAGATTTAAATGTAACTGACTCTGTTTTTGAATGTATGTTTTGAGGTGATATCATGCCACTGAAAATATCAGTCATACATTCACAGGTAATTCGGCAGGTTTCTTGTGGAGCTGTTCATGTGGTGGCCCTATCGGATGATGGCCTGCTGCAAGCATGGGGTAATGTTTCATGTTAAAAGTCTTGTCCATCTTCTGTCCACATGTTTTTACTTGTATATTCTTAGGAAAGGCGTACTAGTCTACATACTAGACTGAAACTTTGGGCGTTGGTGCTAGCTTTGTCAATCACTATGACCAAGGTTCTCAGAATCGGATAGGAACTGTATGGTAAGATCGCAAATCGTTGGATCGTAACTGTTAGAATCATAAAATTGTAGTAGAATCAGTTCAATCAGTTTAGACCGTGAAGTCATAGAATCGTACAACAAAATCGCTGTTCACAACCTTGATTAGTGACCGTAACTTAAGGTGTAATCTATCAAGATAGCTTATCATGACTGATACTTCTTTTATTGAAACATGCAAGATGAGCCAGTTCTTCCATCAAAACAGGACCCAGTTCTTCAATTATTTCATTTCTCACTATTAACAAAATATATACTATTTTCTTACTAGCCAGGCTACAATGAGTATGGTCAGCTTGGCAGAGGTTGTACTTCTGAAGGAGTGCAGGGAGCTCGTGTATTAAATGCTTATGCAAGGTTCCTTGATGACACACCTGAGCTAGTGAAGATTGTTAGAGTATCATGTGGAGAGTACCATGCAGCAGCTATATCAGAAAACGGGGAGGTGTAAGTCATCTCAAAGGATGCTGTTCTCTGCTGTTAGTGGAAGTGGTGTGGTTTCTTCAGTTGGCAAAATAGAACAGCTTGATTTATGACGAGCTAACCATGACTAACAGCTGTGAAGGAAACATTGCACAATGGTTATCATTTAGCTTAGTGTCATGCGATCTAATAAGTGGAATCAATATGGCCAAAACCAGTTTTGCTATTACTTAAATCACTGCACTTCTCCACATCTTAAAGCAAAATAAATGTGTCATATACTTTATGGTTAGAAGCTGCAAGGTATTAACACCATGACTTGTCTATTGGTTTTACTGAGTTGTGAACTATCTTGGATTTTATCA